ACCTAAAATTAATTTTCAAAGCCATTCATCTATTGTAACTGGGCGGAGTACACCCAGGACAGGTTTCGAGCCCCATGTTTATTTAACACGAGTCAACCAAACTATGACGATTTGCTTTTAACGTTCTGTCAAATCCGACTAAAGCTTCGATCCCTATGCATTACACTGGCTGGTAAAAGTAAATAAAATCATTTTTTTCCCCGAAAGTTACATTTTCCTCCCTGTTTTACCATGTCTCAGTTTGTCTGCGCATCACTCTCAGGCTGCACATTTCCTGACAAACGAGGGTCATTATGAGTCTGAAGGCTCAGGGAGCTAATTAGGGGACTCAGATCAGTGGTGCTGCTATGATACACTTTGATGAGTACACACAGCATCCCGACTTCAGAGGGGCTTTTAAAGCCTGCGTGCCAGTCCGCCACTATTTCTCCTATAATGACTTGGACTTTTTTAAAATGGCACGTGCCTCTCAGTGGAGGAGAGAAAGAGTGAACGTTAGCTAGCCACCTGTCACACTGCGCGTCTGTGTTTTCCTCACTCCTCAAACTGTGGGGTGACGAGTGTGTACCAGGGAAAAACCGCAGCTGTTGTCTGGTCTGTGATGTGCCTTTTGTCCTGCCGCTCATCCACCAACTGCTGCCAGAATAATCCTCACACACACACAAAATGACGCACAAACACAACAACTCCGCAACAATCTTTTAAATATCTACAAGTGGTGCCCCAAGTAGGTAAATCTAGAGAGGAAGTAGTCGTTCTACAGTTCCAGGCCCATAGGGACCTTGAGGGATAATCAAAATATATTCCTCAAGGATATAATATGCAACATTATATCATGTTTCAAAATAATTTCAATTGTGTTAAAAATAAGTAAGGATATAGAAACAAGTATATGTTGTCACTCTTACCTCATTAGACATGGAGGACATTATATGTGAGACTGATTGGATAAATGAGAGATGGTGGTAATTCAACTTACGGCACAAACACACTCTGGACAAAGCCTTCACTCACCTGCCTCGACTCG